GTATTATATAAAGTTAACCCGATTTATAATTAAAATAAAAAATGCTGACAAAATATTATTTTATAGAATATAAAGGATAATTGTATCACAATATAATTAGAATGATCATTAATTAAGATAACAATTTTTTTTTTTAATTAAGATTAAATTTGTAAAGTTAATGGGAATTTCCATACTTTGACCCTTTTTTAATCTTTAGTCAGCCCCTCGATAGTTTTTCCTATTTAGAAAAAAAGGGAAAATTATTATTTTTTGTTTTTTAAATTAGAAGAAGAAATATTCCGATTTGAATCAGTAACGGAATTGAATCAAATTAGTTATTTATATTTAAATCTGTTGATTAAATATTGAAAAAGAAGTTTTATGGTAAAAGATCTGTTAGTTAACGCATGGCTGTGTGGTCAGAGTACATGACTTGCGTCCGGTAAAGTTGGTAAAGTCCGGTTCGATCCTCCATGCAGGCGAAATTTTTCAAAACTATTTTCAAATGTTTTACATATTATATATAATTTGAAATAGAAATAAAAAAATTGTACTGTCATTTATTTATAAAGTACAAAATTAAAAAACATAATAATAATAATAATAATAAAATTTGTACAATATAAAATGACTTGTAGTTTAAAAAAAAGAAGAATAATTTATTCTAATCGCGAAGTCAAGTTCTTCTCGCATTATACATGTCGTTTCTTAAGAAGCATTAAAAGAGGAGAGTCAAAGTTGTGGGACACGAAAGTTTGTGAAAATAAAATAAGAGCAAAAACGTGATAGTGGTGGTTCTAGAAACAAGGGAGGATTTTCCTCTGGTATCTAGTTTTTGCAAAACGACCAAGTGGAATAAAAGAAGAAGAAGAAGAAGAACAAAGAGATCGACAGGGTGAAGATGAAAAAGAGAAAAGTTGTTCTTCTTCTTATTCTCTCTCACTCTCACCATAAACCAACGTCTTGTCTATACGTTCAACAGAAAAGGGAGTTATCTTACGAAAAGTCCAGCATCAGTCTTTTCTCTATTGTTTCATGGTTTGAGTCGAATAAGCACTGGGTGAAAACTCGCGGTTCGAGTGCCTTTACCGCCCCCCCCCCTTCTTTTTTTTGTGCGCCAAAGAGATGAGCACGATGAAAAGAAAAGGCCAAACCAATGCAAAAGTGCTTGAGGAATATTCAAAGATAGAGAGAAAGAGAGAGAGAGAGAGAGAGAAAGAGATGAAGTTCCCTAAAAGTTTTCCCCGAGTCTTTTAATTGCTTCACGCCAGGATTAATTGCGGAAGTCTAACTTCGCTCGAGTATCCGGGACTCTATTCATCCCGTACCATCTCAATGCTCTCGATTCAAGGAGTAGAATTTTTTTTTTCTTTCTTCATATTTTTCTCTTCCTTCAAAAAATTGGATCATTCATTTCTTGTTCTCGTTGATGAAAAAAAATAAAAAGCGTGCACATTTTTTTTTCTTTTCACCAAATGGAACGTTTGTATTTTTTTTCTTTTTTTTTTTTTTGTTTGCTTTTCATTCGTAAAATTGTAAAAATTCGAATGAAATGATAAAAAAAAGAAATTTTTTCCGAATTGGATATTTCGATATCATCGAGAAAATTCAAGTTAAATAGAAAGTTGTAATTAACCGGAAAGATGGCTCCAAAAATTTTCAAGACAAACAAGAACAGTTTCTAAAGAGAAGTTTTGTGAAGAAAAGTTGCGGATAAAACCCGAATCGGTTCAGTAACTTTATTTAAAGTTTCTCGCGCACATATATTTCACACCCCAAAAATGCTCTCTAACGAATCAAATATAGAATTTCACACTTTTTTTTGGTTTTTTTTTTTTAAATACAAATTTTAAATTTAAAAATTACCATATTAATTTAATTTCTTTTTTCTATTAATACCATTTTTTTTTTGGTTAATTCAAAATAAAATTTGTTCGATTCAAATAAATATTTATCTGATTTAAATAAATATTTGTTTGATTCTAATAAATATTTATTTCAATATATTAAATACCTTTTTAAATATCTATACTGAAAAAAAGGTTTGGTATTAACAACCAAACGTTTGGTTAGTATTTAAGCAATCAAAATTTTTTTGTAGAATCAACAAAATTTTGGTTGTCCCAATCAAACTTTAGTTAGGACAACAAAAATCCTTTTTTTCTAATTTTGGTTGTGTCAAACAAATTTTGATTGTGTCAAACAAATTTTGATTGAGACAATTAAAATTTTGTTAATTCAACAAAAAAATTTTGGTTGCTTAAATACCAACCAAATGTTTGGTTGTTAATATCAAACCCTTTTTTCAGTTTATTTATATCAAATATTAATTTGAATCAAACATTTTATTTTGAAATAACTAAAAAATTGAATTAATTATACAAATATTTATTTGATCTAAATAAACATTTGGTTTATTTTAATAAATTCGAAATCAAAAATTTTGAAAAAAAAACTGTTAGATTGAACTACCATATTAAATAAATAAATAATTATTATTTAATAATTAAAAATGAAACAAATATTAAGTAAAACATAGTTTTCCATAAATAGAGGGTAAATAACAAGAGAGAGTCTAATTTAAACGTGTATGTATATATAAATGCATCGAGTATAATTTATTAATGAGTAAATTTGCATTGTCATGTAATGGAATTATCCGACAGATCCAAAATTGAAACTTAAATTGACATAAAGCCAAGAGAGACTACAATGAGCGATCTTCAAAGCATTGTCAATGTTGAATACAGTCTACAAAGCGAATAATGGGCTTGTTTAAAATTTCCTTTGTCTGCCATGAGTCTGTACAATGCACAAGGATCTCATTTTAATTCGCGTGATTTCGTTCCTCTCTTTTAAAAAAAAAAAAAAAAACATGAATATGTAATCATAAGCGTACTCTAAAAAGAAAATTAATCTCTCGATCGATAATTTTTCTCCACTACGTACAAAAATTACTAATTTATATACACTGGGAAGAAAAATATTCTTCATTTGGAGAGGAAAATCCTTTTTCTGAAATTAAGAGGAAATACTTTTAATACTAGATTTTACAGGAAAAGTTGCATTAAAAATAATTCTCTTAATCGAAGAATATTTTTTAAGTATATCTATTTCTATTCTATAAGTGCAAAAAAATAGTTATATTTTTTTAGTAAAATTTACTCTAATTTAAAAAAAATAATGCACACAGGAATTTGAATATTGAAAATGTAATCGTGGAGGCAAAGCAGTGTATATGGGGAGTTTGAATGAGAAGGGTTGAGGGGGTGGGGGGGGGTATTTGTCATTGGGGTAAACTTGCGGTCGACAATAATGGTTCTGGCTCCTATAGTACAAGTGTCACTCAGTTGATCATTGAACCGAGTCAATCTGGCTTCAATCCCTACCGAGTTCACGTAAACATTGTAAACGTTATTTGGGCTCTCTCTCTCTCTCTCTCTCTCTCTCTCTCTCTCTCTGCTTCACTAGACTTTTAGCCCTCGAAACCTCATTTTCAGAGGACATTTCTGCCTTATTGGCGGTTTTGGTGAGCTTACTTGCTTGCTTGCTTGCTTAGGTACTTTATTGTCGGAAAAATAACTCACCTGAAAATCTTATGGATAAAGAAGGAAAATTGAAAAACTGAACAGTAAGAAAATAGTAAAAATAATTCCAACTAAAGTTGGGGAGAATTTAACAAAATAAATAAATTCAAAAAAAAAATTTTATATTAAATATACATATAAATTAATAAAATATTTATATTAAATATATACCAATGTTTACTATTTTCAAAAGCAATATTTGAAATTACAATTGGTTAAAAAATTTAACTTTTCAAATTACTATTAATTAAAGCTAATATTAATTAAAATTATCAATATTAAAAATTAAAATCGAAACGTTTAATTTTTTAAAATACTATTTACTGAAACTACAAACGTTTAAAATTACTATTTATTAAAATTGTCAATGTTTAAAATTACTATTGATTCAAGCTATAAACGTTTAAAAGTACTATTAATTGAAGCTATATCAACGTTTAAAAATAGTGCGAGCATTTTTTTTTTTTGAAATTAGTTTTAATTTAATTATTATGTCATTTATTAATTGATTTATTAAAAGCAATGTATATATGATATTATGTAACCGTGTACTTTGAAATTCAATTCGCGTGAATATGTACAGAGCGTTGGTATTAGCATACTTTACGCCATCGAGATTTCCGTCATTGTTTCCTATCACGTCCTCGGAGATTATGAATTTTATCATTCCCTTGTTGAATTGATAACAATGTGTGAAAATTTTAATAGAACATTAAACCTCACGTTGCGGTTATATACGTATATATCTGTCCGCAAAACATTATTATTTGGACTTTGTAATTAATTCAAAGATTTAAATATATTAATGTAATTATATCAGATTATTTATATATATAAGCCAAAATTTGCTATAACAGTAATAATATTAATAAATATTGTTACAAATATATTAATAAGATTTAAAAAATGCAAAAATAATAATTTATTTTCTTGTAAAAAAAAATATTATAAAAAAAATGAATAAAATAACAAGTTTGTGTTTGTCAATTGAATGTCATTAAATGAAACAAGAAATTCTCTAATGAAAAATCTATAAACCTGCAATGGATACGCGTCACAGATTTCGCGGATGAACTACCGGAAATGAACTGTTTACTCGCGTGAATTAACATCAGCTTCCGGCGAATCATTTATGTTTTAACGCATGTTTTTCACGCATAGGTGTTCTCGGGTTCTTTTTTTTGCAAGTTAACGCATCACTTGTTATTCCTCTGTAACAGCTGTCGACAAAGTTACAAAAGTATAATATGTAATTTCTTTTCATATCAAAAAATAAAAACAATATTTTCATTTATTATAAATTTTATAAATATTATTGATTTTAAATAAATATATATTTATTTGGTTCAAATAAATTTTCTCTCAAGTCTCATACTATATATATATATATATATATATATATATATAATATTTTTATCATTTTTGTTTTAGACTTGAGTGATAAGAGAAGACAATATACTTCCCGAGTGTGAATATCTTTCACGAAGAAAAGTGGTAAGTCATGATTGATTTTTCTTCTTGTCTTTATTTTTTTTTTTTTTTTTGTTATTTTGATGTTTTTGCACTTATCTATTGTGTTTAGTGGTATTCGAATTTTTAAGTTTTGCCTGAAGAAAAGATGAAAGATTTATATACTGTGAAAGAGGGAGAACAAATTGTTCTTGACAGCAAGACACTTTAGTAAATAATGGCTTTGCAAGAGGGTTGAAGCATGTTCATGGATAAATTCACCCTCTTTGCTTTCCACAAACTTACTTTTCCCTTGTGACTTTCTCCCCCGACTTTCTAAATAGGAAAAACGGAACTTTTCAAAATGAAACTTGAACATTTTTTTTCACTCAATTTTTCTTATCCTCATTTTTTTATTGAATTTAAATAAAACTATTGTTTAATATGCTAATAATAAAATTTATTATAATTTATAATTACTTAATTATATATATACTTTTAATAATATATAATTACCACTTGGAAAGACTCCCCGGAAAGTGCCCCCTGCAGGTTCTATCAGAATTCCATCGGAGTTCCAAAGAATTTCCGATGGGATTCCGACGGAATTAGGACTCTAAAAATTTTGAAAAAAAATAAGTCGGAACTCCGTCGGAATCCCATCGGATATTCTTTGGAACTCCGATGGAATTCCGACGGAATTACGTTGGATGTTCCGGCGGAATTCTGATAGAACTTCCAGGGGGTTCCAAAGAATTTCCGATGGGATTCCGACGGAGTTCCGAGGGAATTAGGACTCTAAAAACTTTGAAAAAAATTAATCGGAATCCCATCGGAAATTCTATGGAACTCCGATGAAATTCCGACGGAATTACGTTGGAAGTTCCAGCGGAATTGTGATAGAACCATCAGAGGGTTCCAAAGAATTTCCGATGGGATTCCGACGGAATTAGGATTCTAAAAATTTTGAAAAAAATTAGTCGGAACTCCGTCGGAAGTTCCGTCGGAATTCTGATAGAACCTCCAGAGGGTTCCAAAGAATTTCCGACGGAGTTCCGAGGGAATTAGGACTCTAAAAACTTTGAAAAAAAATTAATCGGAATCCCATCGGAAATTCTATGGAACCCCGATGGAATTCCGACGGAATTACGTTGGAAGTTCCAGCGGAATTGTGATAGAACCATCAGAGGGTTCCAAAGAATTTCCGTTGGGATTCCGACGGAATTAGGATTCTAAAAATTTTGAAAAAAATTAGTCGGAACTCCGTCGGAATCCTATCGGATATTCTTTGGAACTCCGATGGAATTCCGACGAAATTACGTTGGAAGTTCCGGCGGAATTCTGATGGAACCTCCAGAGGGTTCCAAACAATTTCCGATGGGATTCCGACGGAATTAGGACTCTAAAAATTTTTTAAAAAATTAATCGGAATTGCGTCGGAACTCCGTCGGAATCTCATAGGAAATTCTTTGGAACTACGATGGAATTCTGATAGAACCTCCAGGGGGCACTTTCCGGGGAATCTTTCCAAGTGGGTTATAATTATATATAATTATATTTATTTATAATTATATAATTTTATAAAAGGAAATTACAGAAAAGTAAAAAAATTTCTTTTATTAAGTGAAAAAAATTTAATGGAAAAAAAGGGTATAAAAAAGGGGAAGAAAATTTTTGATAATAAACTATTATTTAGGAAATATAAATATATTAGAAACTTTCGTCTGGAAAAATTGAGATTGGCTGTTTATTGAAAATTCTTGAGTTTAACATTTTTCTTTTATAACATCGTTTTATTGAAACATACTTTTGTTCTCTGTTACATATAACAATTTAATTTAAGTTTCCAAGAATTCACTTTTTCCACCGAATAGTGAAGGAAAAAAAAAATTTCTTTTTTATATTTTATATTTACAATATTTTTAAATAGAAATTCCGATTTTAATTAAGTGTGTATAATTTTTAATTCGAAAATTACAATTTTTATTCGACTTTATTTAAAAATTAAAAAATATATATATATATTAATTGTTAAATAATTAAATATATGATAAAAATTCGTATTCAAGGTGAAATATTTCTTTGCTATGTTATTTTGCAATTGAAGCTAAATTTATTTTTGCATATACATCTCAAGAAATTCTCTTTTTGAATTTTTGATTATAAAAAAATTCCCATGAGAAAAAAGTACCTCGTTTTATTCGAATTTTTCATCTCGTTGTTCTGTAGTGCCAATTATATATATAGTGAAAAACTGAAGAGAAAGCAAGTTAGACAATAATTATATTTCGTTGATTCTCCGTCGTAGCTTTTCTCCTTCCGTCGTGGGAGTTATTTCATTTGCATGCACATCCGCGATGTGATGCTGTGTGACGAAAACGTTCATTAAATTGAGTGCCTGTCCATTCAAATACAACCATTTAGATCAACGACTCTCTCTGACAAGAGTTTTTTTCTTCTTTTTCTTCTTCTTATTCTTTCAGTGGCAAATTATTTTAAGTGCGATAAGGAGGTAAGATAAGCATGGGAAATAGAAAACTTTATTTCTCTCTCTCTCTCTCTCTTTTTCTCTCCGAAATTCACTTGAAATGGAGCCGAAACAAAACTCGTTATGGTCCATCGAGTAAATGAGAAAGAGAAGTAGAAAGTAGAAATAAGAAGAAAAAGAAGATTCTATATACGCTAACTTTAAACTATTAAAGTCAGTCGGGAAAATTCTATTAGTCAACGTTACTATATAGTGAAGTTAGATTACCTTGTGTTTGCGAGCTGTCGCCACTCTTGACATTATCTATAAAAATCTTCCTTATTTTAAAGAATTTTTTTTTCTTTCTTCATTTTCATTGCGTACTTAGTGGAAATGTTTTTTTTCTCACTCTATATTACTTTTTTTCATCAGACTTTATAGGTTTTATAAAAAAAAAAAATTCGAATTTATTTCTTCGTTAATAGTATTTATTTTTCAAAACTAAAATTCTTCTCTAAATTAAATTTTTTTTTTTTTATAATGAAACGACGAAAACGTTATTAACGTTATAAGATGTTTTAAAAAATATTTTTAAAAATGAATTTTTGGAAAAAAAAATTTCTATTATTTATTTAGAAAACATATATAATTTTCAAAGGAAATTCACATTTCTGTAAATCAAATAAATTTCACCCTCACAACTTGTATAAATGAAATTAATTTAAATTTGTTATTCGAAATTTCTCAGTGAATCAAACTTTGATTATTTACATCCCTGGGGGCTTGAGGAGTGAGGTAAAATTCAAACCACTATATATATACCCCCGTGGAAAACGGTGGTCAGGTGACTTTAGTAGTTGACTATCAAGATATACCAAGTTTGAACTTATGACCTCATCTTATACTTGAGTAAAAAGGATGGAGGGGTGGGGGGGGAAAGAGAGAGAGAGAGAGAGAGAGAGAGAGAGAGAGAGAGAGAGAGAGAGTTTGGATTTTATAGACTAAACTATGCTCCTGTTTGAGATTCCAACAAGAAGTTCTTTTTACCACACAGTCGTCAAAGTAAAAAAGAGCTCGTTTTAGTCAGATTGGATGTCTTCTTTTTTTCCCGACCCCCTCTTTTTTTTACTTCTTTCCTCGTTTATCCGAAGCATAATCTTTCGGAGAGGAACAAGAATCAAGTCCTCTCTCTCTCTCTCTGTCTTTCTCTCTCGATTCTTCGTTTTCATGCATGTCTGCGCATTCTCGTTGCAATTTACCCAGAAATGTCTTATGCTCCTTAATCGCTACTTACAATAAATGAAAGTCATTTTCTCGACGATAAGCAGTTTTGAAAATTTCCGCAGGTGTTATTCTCAAGATCGTCGACGAAATGCTTTTCCATTCATGGAAAATGAAAATGATACTCGGAAAGATTTTATTCGTGTTTTTAGATAATAGCTGAATTATAATTGTTTGGAAAATTTAAACTGAACCGCAGTTTTGAAAAATTATTTGATTACAATACAAAAATGGAAAATACCATCTTAATAAATGTAAAAAATTTTAATCCCTTCGCAGTCGAGGGCAAAATCTCATAAGTGGGCCCAAAATGTCAGTAAATTTTTGAATTACCAAAATTTGTGCAAATGTGTATATTTAAGGTCGCTGATTACGATTCCAAAGTCAGATTTTAAAAATTCAAAATGGCGGAGCCAATATGGCGGACGATTTTTTCAAAAAATGGCAAAAATGATTTAAAAATACTTAAAAACTGTTACTCGGGGGTTTTTGGGGACGCTGATTACGTACCTAAAGTCAGATTTCAAAAATTCAAAATGGCCGAGCCAATATGGCGGAAAATTTTTCAAAAAATGGTAAAAATGATTTAAAAATACTTAAAAATTATTACTCAGGGGTTTTGAGGGTCGCTGATTACGAATCTAAATTCAGATTTCAAAAATTCAAAGTAGCATAGTATGAGTGTGATTATTATTGTATCCATTTTGAATTTTGAAATTTTGTAATTCTGACATCAAATTCGGAATCAGCGACCCCAAAAACCCCCCGAGTAACGAGTTTCAAGCGAATATGGTCAATTTTCAAAATTTTTGGTCGCCATATTGGATCCGCCATTTTGAATTTTGTAAATCTGACATCAAATTCGGAAGCAGCGACCCCAAAAACCCCCGAGTATCAAATTTTAGGCCAATTCCGTCTTATTATTGGGCTCAAAATTTATGTGCGTGTATACACGTCATCGACATCCAAGGGGTTAAATAACATATATGTTATTATATTATATATAATATATTATACATTGTATTATATACATATTATATATAATATTATAATATTTATAATTTGAAAATTTATTTTTTATTTTCGAATAATTTTGGATAATTTAATATTAATACTAATATTAAAATTAAATGTGATTTCCAATATTATATAATTAGTTTTCGAAGTAAAAAATTTTTAATTAAAATTTACAAATCTAATAAATTGTTGGGTGGAAAAAAAAAATTTTAATTACCTTTTATAAAAAGATTTTTCTCAACCTGTCTATTAATTTCATAATAATCTTGACGATGAATAG